AGATTTGTAATAGAAAGTGTCCAGTTTTTAAGAAAATTCTCCTACCTCGTTGTGATGCACAAGATCTACCTTTTTAAGGTTGTCGGACCATAAACATAATCAAATTCGACATGACCATAAACATAAGTTTGGCAAGTTAAATACTCTTAACCTTAAGGGACTTTTTAAAAACACCCTATTTATGTATTATAATTTGAAAAATACGCTTCTTTATTAATTCATTATTTCCAAACCAATTAATTTTTTTATTAATTTAAATGAACCAATAAAATTTCTCCCAAACACAATTTCTATTGTCGTAGCTAAAATAATCGGTTTGTTCTTGCACTATTGGTTCAATTAACCATAAAAGCTACAATATATTTCGTAACATCAAAAGATCTTAGTAAAAATAGATATTTTTATACAGAATGAAATCTAGACTAAGAATATTGAATATTATCATCACGAAGTTGTTTTATTTTTAAAATACATATAAGATATATAAATTATATTCAATTATATTGAGATTATTTTAGTAAATTTAATATCGTAAAAGTGTAGTTTTTAAAAATTAAAAATAAAAGTGTATTTTTCAGATTTAAAAACATGAGAAAAATAGTTTTCCAAATTTACTCTAACCGTAATTTGTGTAAACAACATCATAAATTTGATTTAAGAGAATCTTTTGCTGCTTCTCACACTCGTCAAAACTGGCCGAAACTTTTCGCAGATTTGCACAACCACTATCAGGTTTGCTGCTTCTTCACATTCTTCTTACTAGGTTCCTTATCCGTTTTTCTTTTCTCACCCTTTGCCTTCTGATTCTTTGCGGTTTCAAGTTTCTGTAATAAAAAAATCACCAATTTCAAATTAGCTTTTTACAAGAGAAGTTCATAGTATGTTATTAAATATAATCTTTTTTACCTCTAACTTTTCCACAAAAGCGTCAACGGCTTTAAGGAAGCGTTCTCGGGGAGGGTTGTCATTCAGGTATTGCATTTTAGTCTCCACTATCTTTCTCTTTGCAGATAGCTCCATCGCATACTCTGAAGTCAACACTGAGTCTAGCTCCATTGATCGGAGATGACGGAAATCAGAAACTCCTCGAACAACTTCATATCCTCCAGTGGTGAACTCCTCAATGAGTTGAGATTCAATCCTCGTAGTGCTACTCAAACTTATTGATCCATTGCGAATTTCATCGATGAACTGCAACTGGTCGTCTATTTATTAGGTGCATGACACCCATAACTTTCATTAGTTTTCTGTCTGTATACATTCATTAGGTCCATTACACCCATAACTGGAAGCATGTTTTGTTAGAATATATTCAATAGGTTATAAAACAAGTATTTACTAACCTCTCTATCTTCATGCTCTCTAAGCTTCTCAAAGCAAAAACTCTCTATAACTGCAAGCCAATGGAATGTTATAAGCATATATACAGTAAATGGAAAGAAAAACGAGGTGAAATCTATCATACTTACTTTCTTCCACCATTTCATACTTCTGTATATCACCTTTGGCATCAAACAAATGCACATTACGTGTGCTGATGGATGAGGTCAACTTGAGTGTCTTCAAAATCTCAGTCCGTTTGAGAGACATCAGCCATTTCATGTTTGTTTCATCTAAAGTCAGCTTCAACGGTGCATTTGTATCATCACTACAGTTGACAACATCACTGAACAAGGGGCTGTCATATCATGTCTTCATATCTTTCATGGAGACCATGTAAGGATTAATCCATGTATTTACAGGCAGTTCTGTAATAAAAATGGCTCCGGACTTAACTTTATACGAACCAGTGGTTGTGTACGTCTGTTTTTTGGTCTCGTCTTTCGAAATGTTGCCTTTGAATCCTTTATAGTAAGGCATCAAAGGCATCGCATGCTTCTTCATATCGATACCCTTGAGAAATTGGATCATATAGTTAGCGATATCTCTCGGATTGTAGTTCGGAATGCTCGTACTCCAA